GTGGGTGGGACTTAGGAGTTGCTGGGAGGGGTTAAGAGATTGTGAGAGGGGTCTAAGCTCTTGTGGGTGGGGTCTAAGCTATAGTGGGTGGGGCTTACAAGTCATTGAGCGTGGCTTAAGGGCTGTGAAAGGTCATTTGGTAGGTTGGATAAAATGGTAATGGGAGGAGTTTAAGATAAGGTTAATAACGCTTAGATGAAGGTGGTTGGGGCTCAAGAGCTGATAGGCGGGGCTTATGTCTAATAGGAGGGGTTTAGGGGAAGGTAGGTGGGGCTTATGAGATGATGGGAGGGGTTCAAGAGATTTTAGGTGGGGTTGAAGAGCTGGTGGGCGTGGCTAAAGTATTGGTGGGAGGGGTTTAGGAGAAGACGGGAGGGAGGGGATAAAGATCTGGTGGGTGGGACTTGAGAACTGGTGGGTGGAGTTTTGGAGGTGGTGGGTGGAGCTTTGGAGGTGGTGAGTGGGATTTCAGAGTAAATTGGTGAGCGACTGAGGTGGAGTGACTGATGCATGGCGTCCCTATACAGAAATTAATCAGTTAGTCAGTCTTCCAGTTCACAGATGACATTTATAGACTGACTTGGGATGTGTGTGTGTGTGTGTGTGTGCGTGTGTGTGTGTGTGTGTGTGTGTACGCTTTTCTTTGTTGATGATTTTGTTGGGCGAGTTCATTTGCATATTATGTAATACAACAGGTGATGGAAGGCAGCGCTAGAGAGTGATGATGGTGGTGATGGTGTGTGGTGATGGTGGTTGTGTGGTATTGTGGTGATGGTGATGTGGATGAGGGTAAAACTAATTGGATCACCTGAAAATTAATCACCCTAACGTTACCTGGGAGTTAGGTTAGGTTATCTTCAGGGAGGTTAATCATCAGGTGAGATAAACTGAGGTGTCTTTATCTGCAGGTAAGAGGTGAGGGGCCGGAGGTTTATTGAGATGTAGGAAATCTGCACTAGTAAGAGGGACTTGGCTACAGCTAAATGAGGACATTGTCTGGTTGGTTGGGTGGAGAGGGATGGGGTGGAGTGGGAGGGGTTTAAAGATGAGAGGGAGGAGCGAGGAGATGTATGGGGAGGGGGGCGTCCAACCTGTGTCCGGGTTTGGATGTGAGAAGCCCCGCCTACCTTGAACCTCCCAGCCAATCACCACCTAGAGGACCATCCTGCCCCCACCACTCAGAGGCTGCGACGTGTGGTGGGGGGCGGGGCGTCACTCACCCCCTGGCGGAGGAGTTCAGCTTTAAGATGTTCCCGCCACCACGACTTCATACATAAATTTCAGGGTTTATATCCCCAGAAGAAAGACGTAGATCGATCACTGGTGTGTGTGTCTGTCTGTCTGTCTTTTTGATCCCCCCCTCCAGCAGGGCAGGTGTGTGTGTCTTATGGTCCTTGTGACTGTTTGTCACGATGATCCAACTCGTTTCATGGTGTTTTTTTTATAATAAAAAATGTGTTTGCAGTCTCCCGTCTTTGTACTGTCCCACCTCCCTCTCCTCTCCCAGTTCCTACCTCCCTCCTTCCTTCACCTCCCTCACTTGTTTCCTAACCTAAACGCTTTATTCTCTCAAACCTCACCTCTCCTCTGCCTCTCCTCTCCCTCACCTCTCAACCCCCGCCCCCCCTTCCTCCCAGTTTAGTGTTCACATTTATGTACCGTGTGTGTGTGTGTGTGTGTATTTTTATTTCCTTGTGTGTGTAAATGAACTTATATTAAGACTCGGTTTACGTTGTGGATTTGTTTGTTTGTTTACTCATCAGGTGAAACAAAAGCTAGGGTGTCTAATCTTCAGGTGATTCGAGTTTGATTTTAGTGATGATAAATAAGTGATTGCTTGATTGATTGTGGTAATTACATCCCTGGCGAAAAATAATTGGTTGAAACTATATATATAGCCTATATATAGCCTATATATATATATATATATATATATATATATATATATATATATATATATATATATATATATATATATATATATATATAAAGTCAATGGAAAATAGTATCTAGGTTTTGATTGGTTCTTTAAATCTGAGTGTTTATACAGATTCAGTGGGAAATAAGGTACAGATTTTGAATGGTTCTGTATTAAAAACTAGACAGATTTTGATGTTGTTTGGGTTTTCATGAGTAAAATTTGTGAAAGGTTGATGTGCATAAAAAATTTTAACCCTAAGCGATCGAGCGGTCACTTGTCGCTTACTCTGATAATGTCATTTCGTGAATAAATTAAGAGTAATCAGATTAATTAATGTCTGAATTATATAACAAAATATATTAAGTATTTCACGTAATTATTGTATTATATTGTTAACAGTAAGTAGAGATGGCAAGATATTATTTTGTTTGTGGGTTAAAAATGGATGAAATTAGATGAGGAACCATTGAGCCAGTCGCTAAGAGGCGCTAGTCCTTACTGAGCGGGAAACACAAGTTGCTGCCATCACCGCCACCCTACCACAGCACCCACACACCACCTCCCACTCCACAATTACACATAAACACAACACCTAGATGCTTCTTTCTCTAGTTATAAAACCTAAAATAAAATATGATAAACTAAGATAGAGAAAATATATATGATTTTATGGCGTAAAGGAAGGGTTCCATTCTGCACGGCTCTGGCAACGGTGGATTTAAGCAGGTGGGGGGGGGGGTGGTTATTGATCAATACCTAACCGTCGCTTCGACCTGTTACTGCCTGGCCCGCCTCTCTCCTTCCTCTCCTCCCCCTTGATAAATGACCAACCTGGGCCTTAACCTTGTGTCTGTGTGTAATAGAGGCGACACACGGCCACACTAGTACTGGATGTGTGTGTGTGTGTGTGTGTGAGTGAGGCAGGACCACCACCACCACATCTAGTCAAGCGCTACACAAAGGAACGTTGCCTCCCTTACCATAACTAACCAGTATATCACTTTACAACCTCTTTAGTAGAATGATGTTAGGGTTACTTGTTGGGGAATATGTGTTATGAATATGTTACAGTATGTGTAAAGAATATGTGCTAGGAATATGTCACAGTATGTGTCAAGAATATGTGCTAATAATATGTTGAGAATGTTTGTACAGCATGTGAGAGTATTTGCTAAGATTATGTGCCAAGAGTAAATGCTAAGAATATGCATGAAACAAAATTCTTAGTCGTAATTCGTAAAACAAAATTCTAAGTTCGGGTGGATAACACAATATTCCAAGTTCGGATTCATGACAAAATTTCAAGTTCGGATTCATGACTATCTTAAGTTCGGATTCATTACAAAAAAATTCCAAGCACTGATTATTTAAATATTTTTTCTCTTACGTCTCTCACCTGTTTGTGTTGAGTAATTAGGTAAACTAAATTGGGTGTTGAATATCTCTTAATAACACTACGAGCCCAAACTAGCACCTTTAAAACCTGCTGCGATTCTGTCCAGGACGAAATTACCTGTTGGGATAATTCTTGGTTAATATTTTGTCCAGAGTGTTAATGTCCAGTAATATTTTGTCCATTGTGGTGCTGAGATTGAAAGTGAGATAAAGATGAGAGAGAGAGAGAGACAGATGTATGTTTTCTCCCGAGCGATGGCCGGAGGTGTATACATAAAATCTCCCGAGTCTTAGGTGGTGATGCTCGCCGTGTGTTGCTTAGTAAAAAAATCAACTCTTTCTCTTTGTTAATAATTCCACTATTTTATCTGATAAGTGTGTGTGTGTGTGTGTGTGCCCGCGCGCGCGCCTCTAATTGGAATGCTGTTCACTCGTCCGCAATTTTGGCGACTGGGGAAAGTTAGTTCATTGGTCCAAGAGTTCATCATTTTGTTCATGGCTGCGACAGTTCATCAGTGGTACAACAGTTCACCATTTTAGTTCATCAGTTTGTTCACAGGTACAAGTGTGTGTGTCGGAAAGGGCTATCCGTCTTTAACCATCCATCTGCTTCATTTCATCTCGCTAGCTATTAACACGTCACAGCTCCTGACTTGACCTGACCTGACCTAACCAGACCTGACCTGACCTAACCTAACCTAACGTTTAGCATTCAGAGGGTTAATACTTCTGCTACTACTGCAATTTCTAGTGTGTATTGTCAGGCTGTTATTTTCAGTGTTATTATCAGCGTTATCAGTGTTATCAGCGTTATCAGTGTTATTATCAGCATTAACAGTGTTATTATCAGCGTTATCATCAGCGTTACTGGCAAGCATATCGCTGTTATTATCAGCGTTATCAGTGTTATTATCAGCATTAATAGTGTTATTATCAGTGTTATTATCAGCGTTACATTATCAGCGTTATCAGTGTTATTATCAGCGTTATTATCAGCGTTATCAGTGTTATTATCAGCATTAACAGTGTTATTATCAGTGTTATTATCAGCGTTATTATCAGCGTTATCAGTGTTATTATCGCTATTATCAGCGTTATCAGTGTTATTATCAGCGTTAATATCAGCGTTATCAGTGTTATTATCATGTTATTATCAGTTATCAGCATATCAGCGTTATTATCAGCGTTGTCAGTGTTATTATCAGCATTAACAGTGTTATTATCAGCGTTATCAGTGTTATTATCAGCATTAACAGTGTTATTATCAGCGTTATCACTGTTATTATCAGTATTATGGTAATTTTTTGGTAGCGTTTTATAAGACACTTGAGAAAACTGATTCATTGGTGGCGGCTGGAGACTTGAGGCTGAGAGGACGAAAATAACACCTCCGTCAGGTCTTATTCACTGTGTTTTTTGTGTATCGTCAATACTTCATTAACTTCTTCTGATCGTGGCGTGTTGGTTTCACTGATTATAGGCGCACGTAACACCAATCCACCCGCCGCTGCCGCCTTAGAATCCCCCTAAAAGACTCGCTCTCTTGATTAGCTGCTCGTGATTGGAAGCCAAGTGGTTGTAATTGTGTTGTTTTGTGGTGACCTGTGGTGGTGGTGGGGGGCGTTAATCAGGCCATATAAACTAGGGTCCAGCAGCTTGAGACACCATCCAGTCCTGAGCCGGGGACACTACTACTACCATCACCTATTACCTGTTTCTCCTTACGTCTTGGTCAACGGTGAGGATAGACCACAGCCAGAGACAACACCTGTGAGGCGGGAGCAGCAGCTGGTGACTCAAGAGGCTACTTCATACACCTGACAGCCATACCAGCTAGCAGGGAGGAACATGTTGCAGAGGCTTGTGGTACATTTACTTCTGGCTGCCGTGTATGTCTCCTTCAGCGTCGCCTCTGCCAGTGAAGTGGCAGGTCCTGACTCCTTTACCGAAGATGGACAGGAGCGGCAGCAAGACGTATCGCCGTGGGTGTTGCCGCAGTGGTGGTGGCTCAGCTCCGTGCTCTCCCTGCCCCAGGACCACACCTCACACGCCACCACCACCAAAACAAACCAATACCTGGTGAACGCAGTAGAAGAGGAAGACTCCACGTTGTCGCTGGTGCTGCCTGCCGAAGGTAACGGCGAGAACGACAAGGTCAGGGACGATATGTCACGGGGTGGAAGCTCTGCTGCAACACGGGTGGGCAAGCGGTCACGGCCCTGCAGGTCACAAGGTAAAAATCGGTGTCGCCGCGGACTGGTGAATCTGGTGCCCGCCTCTGAGGTCCACCAGAGCTGGAAAAATGACTACTTATCAGTGCCTGAAGCCCTCGTCCAGTTCTCCCAGGAGCAAACAGAGGAGACGGTGTGTAAGGACCTCTCCGTGCAGCTGTTCCGTGTTGACCTGGCGGAGCTGCAGCTGGAGCCCTACTGGGTGAGGCAGACCGCTCACCTGGGCATGTGTCCCTCCAAGCTACAGACTCGCAAGCTGGGTGACAACGTGTGGCCCAACAGCGTGGTGGAGACCAAGTGCATGTGTCAGCGTGAGCTTTGTTCCAACGAGGGCGGCGACTTCCGGTGCCAGGCGGTGCGGCGACCCATCAGGACGTGGGTTCGTCACATGGACCAGTTCATGCCCACGGAGGAGATGGTGTCGGTGGGCTGCGTGTGTGCCCAGAAGACCAGCCCCGAGGGTAACTACGCCAGGATTGAACTCCATAGTTAATTATGGCACCCGAGGCACCACCTCACTGTACACGTGACACACACACACACATGAACACTTGGTGAGATGAAGGTACACGAGTCTTTCACCAGTATAAGTGACTCCAGCTAGTGCACCATTACCACCATAACACTACACCCTCTCCCTCCCCAGACGAGGTCACCAAACCATTGCAGGTACCATAGCACCATTCTGACCTGGAGTTCACCGCATCATAGCACCAACAAGGTCGCCAGTATCACCAAAATACAGCAATTTTTCTGTTTTTGTTTCTGAATCAATAAACTGACACAAAATGTAACCCTTTCTTGTGATTTTTCCTTATAAGCCCCAGTCACCCCACAGTCACCACGTGTTAAAGAGTGCACCAGTCACTCCACAGTCACCACGTGTTAAAGAGTGCACCAGTCACCCCACAGTCACCACGTGTTAAAGAGTGCACCAGTCACCCCACAGTCACCACGTGTTAAAGAGTGCACCAGTCACCCCACAGTCACCACGTGTAAAAGAGTGCACCAGTCACCCCACAGTCACCACGTGTTAAAGAGTGCACCAGTCACACCACAGTCACCACGTGTTAAAGAGTGCACCAGTCACCCCACAGTCACCACGTGTTAAAGAGTGCACCAGTCACCCCACATCCCATATTCCTGCTTCGTTATTGGCTACAAGAATCAGGCAACGTGAATGCTGATTGGCTGTTTAGGAACGTGTGATTGTCATTGGTGGGGATATACAGGTGTGAATATATACCTGACTATATATACCAGGATATACTGTATGTGATGTGTTGAATAATGTGAACTTACAGGATATTTAACTTTATGTGATATGTTAAAATGTTATGTTAAAATTATATACACTGTTACTGGTTAATATGGTGGTATTATAACAGTGGTGGCTCAGTGTTTATTATTATTATTATTATTATTATTATTATTATTATTATTATTATTGTGTCCCGTCGTACAGTAGAAATTACGTAATTAATTAATGTTTGTACGCCAACGAGAACAGACTTGATACAATAAACTACAAAACTTACCATAAAACTACAATATGGATGAATACATTACATAGACTAATACAGTAAAATACAGTTAATTCAGGATAAAAAATTAAGGCGAATACAGTAAATTTATAGTGAGAATACAGCAGACTTTCTTAAATTACAGGAATAAATCAGTAAAGTATATTGAAAACACGTGAGAATAAAGTAGAGAGGTGAGGGAAAATAAAGTAGAGGTGAGGGAAAATAAAGTAGAGGTGAGGGAAAATAAAGTAAAGTGAGGGAAAATAAAGTAGAAGTGAGGGAAAATAAAGTAGAGGTGAGGAAAATAAAAGTAGAGGTGAGGGAAAATAAAAGTAGAGGTGAGAAAAATAAAGTAGAGGTGAGGAAAATAAAAGTAGGGGTGAGGAAAATAAAGTAGAGGTGAGGGAAAATAAAGTAGAGAAGTGAAGAAACAACAGGTAGAGGTGAAGGATGATGATCAGTTTTAATGCAGCTAGGTCACAGGTGTGTGTGTGTGTGTGTGTGTGTGTGTGTGTGTGTGTGTGTGTGTGTGTGTATAGAGGCGTCCCGATTAACAGTACTGGTGATGGTGTCTTTTACGTGGTCTCTGATGAACCATGGGTCGATTATGTTAAAGGGTAGGTAGTGGCTTGCTGGGTTGGTGGGTGTGGTGGGTGGGTGGGTGTGGTGGGTAGGTGGGCAGTGTTAGATTCATGGCTCGAAAACACCACAACTTGTTACGGCAGGGGGGGTGTTTCTTACACACACACAATTCTCTCACACACACCTGTCTCTATCACACACACCTGTTTAGTAGGGGTTCACACTGACTAACATCCTTCTTGTGTCCAACCAGGGCATCGAACCGGACACAGTGGTGAGAGGTAATCACGAGGCTTCAAACCCGTCGAAATCATTAGAGGAATCACTCTACCTCTTACCTGTGTTTTACCTGTTACCTGTGCTTGGTCGGGTATGTAATTTTTGTCTGTGTTCTTGTAATTTGATTTGTGTATGAATACTTTTTTGTATTTTCTTTAGGATTTTACTTATTTTTAGATAAATATATGCAAGTAAAGTGTGTGTGTGTGTTAAAACGTGGCTGGCAGTAGAAATAGTGCGGTTACGTTTGGAATGAGTCGAACTGTGAACTGTGTTTGATGAGGAGGGTAGGAGGAGGAGGTGAAGAGAGAGAGAGAGAGACGCCAAATTTCAAATATTTGAGGCTTGTGTTTGAGTGAGGGAGGCTTGAGTGGGGAGACTGAGGTAACACACACACACACACACACACACAGACTGTTGACAAGGTGCGTGCAGCTTTGAGACAGGGGATGAATGGTAAGAATGTGTGTGCGTTTGACTCTCTCTCTCTCTCTCTCTCTCTCTCTCTCTCTCTCTCTCTTGGGACGGGAACAACAGGAGATAGAGAGAGAGAGAGAGAGAGAGAGAGTTATGGTAGTATAGCCAACACAGAGAGTCGCCATCTAGTCCGTGTTGACGCTGCCAATCCAGTTGTAGATACAGATTATAGTCTGACGAACGGGGAGCCGAAGACGGATCCACACTCGGATTCAGAGAGTTTGATATAGAAACGTCAACACAGTGTAGTGGTTCGGGTGTAGAGGTGTAGTTATTGTTCTGATATGAGGTCATTACAGGAGGGGGTAGTTGAAGTACTCAGGAGGGATGTACTCAATTACAGAAGTACTCAGGAGATGTAATCACTCATAGAAGTACTACTCACAAGTGCTCACAAGAGAGTGCGCTCACTCACAGAAGTACTCTCAGGGGACACTCACTCACAAGTACTCGCAAAGGACGTACTCTCCCAGGAGTACTCATAGGGGACTTCACTCACAGAGAAGTACTCGCAGGGGACGCACTCACTCACAGAAGTACTCGCAGGGGACATTCACTCCTGGAAGTACTCACAGGGGACGCCTCACTCTGAAGTACTCGCAGGGGACGCACTCCTCACAGAAGTACTCGCGGGGACACTCCTCCTGAGAAGTACTCTGCAGGACGCACTCACTCAAGAATACTCAGGGGACGCACTCCTCACAGAAGTACTCAGGACGCACTCCTCCTAGAAGTGCTCGCAGGGGACGCACTCACTCCAGGTACTCGCAGGGGACGCACTCTGGCATATAAGCCTAAAGGTGACGGCACAAGACAACTCACAAAAATGGTCTGAGTTTTTCTTGGCGGGTCACGGGGTGTTTTGTGGTACACACACACACACACACACATACACACACAATACACACATACACACATACATACATACACATACATACACACATACATCATACACATACATACACACATACATCATATATACATACATACATACACACACATAAGGTGGTGGATCTGTGCTGATATATATAGATTTACTTGTATATGTTGAGGTCATAATACAGTTAGTGGGTGGCTGGGTGGCTCTCATACAGTCAGTGGGTGGGCGGTTATCATGCAGTTAGTGGGTGACTGGATGGGTGGCTCTTATGCAGTTAGTGGGTGACTGGATGGGTGGCTCTTATGCAGTTAGTGGGTGACTGGATGGGTGGCTCTTATGCAGTTAGTGGGTGGGTGGGCGGCTCTCGCACAGTCAGTGGGTGGCTGGGGTGGGCGGCTTATGCAGTCAGTGGGCGGCTCTCCTTACGGTGGTGGTGGCTGGGGTGGGCGGCTCTTATGCAGTCAGTGGGTGGCTCTTATGCAGTCTGTGGGCGGCTCTCGCACAGTCAGTGGGTGGCTGGGGTGGGCGTCTTATGCAGTCAGTGGGTGGGTTACTCTTTTAACAAGCTGGCTGGCAGGTATAGGAAACACTCTTTTATCTGGGTGGCCGGGTGGTTAGGTAGGTAGGTGGGTGGTCGGGCAGGGGTGGGTGGCCGGACGGGTAGAGTGGTGGTCTGGTGGGTAGGTGGGTGGTCGGGCGGGTAGGTGGGTGGCCCGGGTGGGGCCCCTCAGGACAGCAAGCAACGTACAGCACTCTGCTACCAGCTCCTCTCCCACCCCTCCCCCCCCTCCTGACCTCCTCCCCCTCCCAGACCTCCTCCTACCTCTCCCTCACCTCCTCCTACCCCTCCCTCACCTCGTCTACCCCCCCCAGACCTCCTCCTACCCCTCCTCACCTCCTCCTGCCCCTGACCTCCTAGCCCCCCCGGCCTCCACCTACCCCTCACCTCCTCCACCCCTGACCTCTAGCCTCCTGACCCTCCTAGCCCTCCTGACCTCCTCTAGCCCTCCCTGACTCCTCCTACCCCTCCCTCACCTCCCCACACCCAACCTCCTCCTACCCTGACCTCCTCCCTACCCCTCCCTCACCTCCCTACCCCTGACCTCCTAGCCCTCCCCTCACCTCCCACCCTGACCTCCTAGCCCTCCCTCACCTCTACCCCTGACCTCCTACCCTTCCTCCCCTCCCCTACCCCTGATCTCCTCCTAGCCTCCCCCTCACCTTCTACCCCTGACCTACTCCCAGCCCTCCTCCTACCCCTCCCTCACCTCCCACCCCTGACCTCCTCCCTAGCCCTCCCTCACCTTCTATGACCTCCTCTAGCCCCCCCTCACCTCCCACCCCTGACCCTCCTCCCCTACCCCTCCCTGACCTCTACCCCCTCCCTCATCTCCTACCCCTCCTCTAGCCCTCCCTCACCATCTCCTCAAGTGACCTCCTCCTAGCCCTCCCTACCCTCCCTCACCTCCTCCTAGCCCTCCCTCACCTTCTACCCCTGACCTCCTCCTAGCCTCCCTCACCTCCTCCTAGCCTCCCTGACCTCGTACCCCTGACCTCCTACCCCTGACCTCCTCCCACCCTGACCTCCTCCTACCCCTCCCTCACCTCCTACCCCTCCTACCCCTGACCCTCCCCGGCCTCCTCACCTCCTCCCTACCCCTCCTCCCTAGCCCTCCCTCAGGCCAGGGGCTCCTCTCTCCCTCTGAATTAAGCCCGGATATCCTCAAGCAGCTGGGGAGTGGCTTAGTGCCTTCCTCTCTCTCCTGCTTGGTTAAAACTATAGATTATTTCAGAAGGACTCACAGGAGGTGTGTGTGTGTGTGTGTGTGTGTGTGTGTGTGTGTGTGTGTGTGTGTGTGTGTGGAGAGGCTGATACCCGTTTTCTCTCTCTCTCTCTCTCTCTCTCTCTCTCTCTCTCTCTCTCTCTCTCTCTCTCTCTCTCTCTCTCTCTCTCTCTCATCTACGTCTCAGGATTAAAAGTATTGAGTACGTCTGTCTGTCTGTCTGTCTGTCTCTCTATTTCTTTGTTTGTT